CAGTTTGCAAGAAACTAGAAGACACAGGAAATCTGAAAACCTGCAGTGAATGCCTAGAAAATCATAGATAACAAAGAGGATATCATGCCGTTGAGATGCCTGAATAAAGGACTTTAACTCATGCCACGATCTCGCAGGATGCATAATTAGAGTGACTCATGCTGTCTGTACTGACGTATCTAAAAGTTGTGGTACATGGAACTGGTTGTTTTCAAATTTTCATGATTCAATGCAAGTAACCTATGCGAAGTTAGGCAACCCAACAAACTAGCCCTTATACGATATCCGTTGTGCTGACATGTTCTCAAAATATTTAGCCATTAAAAAAGTAATCCTTACGCATTTGATGACGAGCTACRCATTGTTCATTAAGTACGTATTGTACAAACGTGTCAGGCGTCCAATGATATGAAGCCTGCTTGTTCAGTTTCAATAGGAGTGCCATCTAAAAAAAGAGCAGTTTTACAACCTCCATATAGAAGCGATATAGGTGCACAATAATTGGAGAGCATTTAGTGTATCAAAATTCTCACAAACATTGTCCAATTATTATATTATCTGCTTCGGTCATCTGCAGACTCGCAAGCCTTTGTATTTTAGGTAAATGTGTTAATAGAAACCCTGCTTGGCACATGAAAAGATACATGGGTTCAATAATCCTCTGGTATTTTAACATCTACAAGGTGCCTGTTTTTGAATTCAAGAACAATCGTTGTTTACGACGATTTGTTTTCTCTCTTTCACAGTTTGAAGTCGGTTTAAGTTGAACTTGCAGYTTTGCAAGAGCATTATTTATTATSTCTTCTGCATTTAGTGTGCAAGAATACTATTTTTRCCACTGGGTTACGAGTTTCCGTTTTCTTWGATAATYAAACTTCAAATCCCTCGAACAAACTAAGGCAGCAATTTAATTGCAAACAAATTATGTTTTATTTGTACAGACTTTGATATTCAAATTGCTATTTGCTTTGTAAATCCGGTATTAATTCTGTCGAACAATAAACTGTTCAGAGTGGATGCTTTGAAAGACTAAGAAACAAAAGTCTAGTGACGTCAATGTAGTCAACCATTACTAGTCAATTACTATCGAAAACAAAAGTATAATTGTGTGTTTTGGTGTTTAAACTAATTATAGCCTGAAGTGGAGTAGGTATATAGGCCTG